ATAGATAAAGCCCTTCGTAAAGTGTGGGCTGTACTTGTCAGAACAATTTTTTGTATCTCTTTGAGGCATGGACTTCCAGATTATTATTATTTGTTAGGGATGCGTAGATAGAGTCAAAGTTCAAATTCTGGTCTGTTACGCTGATTTCGCAGTAATGATCTTTAGAAAAGTCATGAATCCACTTCTTCTAGCCAGGGCTGGTGGAAGGGCTTGTATATCCCACTGAATCTATGTTAAACTGCCACCCACTTAGTACAGTGGATGGCACTTTAACATAATCTTTAACATAATCTCAGTTGCCAGAAAGTAGTATTCATATAAAATACAAATGTCATTGTCTCCTAATTATGTACAATAATGGATCATATTCAATATAGGTGAACAATTCAAATAGAAAATTTGAAAATAAATACAATGTATCTAAATGCAAATCAGCGACATGTCACAATAGATGAGTCCATCTTGAATAAATCAATAATGTTTTGCGGCATTTTTAAACGTCAATTTGAGATTTTTCTTCTTAAATTTTTTTATTTTTTTACTGATATAATTTTTTTTTTTTGTTAAAATGTTGAATAATTTAACACGTTCAACATTATGGATAAAAAATAGTGAATTTTATATAGTGTCTTTTCTCGCATGAGAAAAAAAAATCACAGATTTGGACGGAAAAATACCAAAATTATGTCAAAATCTGCGAAAATTTTTTATCCTTTAATAGTCAGTTGTGCTCAGTTTTATTTGTAATATATATAAATGTAGATAGATAAAAGCAAATGTTGATAAGAGAACAAGGGTCACAAAGCACTGCTCTGATCCGCCAATCGGGGTTGAACCCTCTCCGGTTGGGAGGTCCGAGGGTAGTACGCACCGGTCCAGCTTTCCTAGCTAAGGATGAATAATACAGTAAAGACCTTCGTTAGGCTGTCAGTCTTGGAGAAAAAAAAAACAGCCGGATTCCAAACCTTGGCGAAGACAACAAGAAACTAATACTATTATCTCTTCCATGAAGTCATGGTACTTCTCAGATATTAATTGAAAAGAAGATGTGGAGAGCTATAACTGGCTACGTTCTGAAGGAACATTGCATTTAAAGGTGAATATGCGGAAAATCGAATCGATGAGTCGTCTTCAAATTTCCGCCCAGATGCAATCACTTTCGCACAAATATTGTGAATCAATTTGTCAAGGCCCCTCAAGCCATGGTAACAGATAATCTAAATGAACTAATCTGAATTCCAAAGCTTCGAGGAGTTAACTGGAAAGAACTTCACTTTCTTTCAAATTTGAGTCGTCGAAAATCACAGATATTAAGTACAAATCAATCTACGGAAAGCCATAATTGTCTATGACATGAAAGGAGATGGCATTTTAAAAATCTTTTAAAATTCATTGCCATTAAAGTAAATGTGAAAATTCAAGATGCATTATTTCTTTCAATTTACCTGTTTTTCAGCATTGAATCAAGGACCACATTCCGTATATTTATTGGCTTCGTGCAATTGCAATAATAGACGAAGGAAAATGTAGCTGAGAAAGGCGAAGATGCATTGAAATAACGAATGATGCCTTTCCAAAGCTAAACAAAATAAGAACACAGAGGAAAGCCTCGTGAAAAACATGTTGTATTGTTATTCAGTATGACAGTAAATATCGGACAATTTTCTCGTAACTGATGAGTAGAATTGACACAGCAAGACGGTGTTCTACGGAAGTAAGCTGAGAATACAATGACCGGAACACGTGAGTAAGGAGAAAAATGGGATCCAAAAGGAAACTTCGAATCAGAATATTGAAAACTGAACACGACTAACGGGATTTGTACACCTAATGATAAAGAAAGTGGTGACTGTTATATAGTGATTTCCCAAGCGTAGCTCAGATGTGGCACAAGGCCGAAAGTATGGGGCACCTAGTAAGAATCGAACTCACTACTCATTCGTAATTGTTCGAGCGAGACAAGCTGACTAACCATTACATCACATCTGGGTACCCCATAGATTAGATGTGGCGCAACGCCGAAGATATGGGGCACCCAGTGAGAATCGAACTCACTACTCAGTCGTAATTGTTCTAGCAAGATAGGCTTGCTAACCATTACTCCACGACGAGGTACCCTGGTGACTGTTATATAGGAATAAAGCGTCGCTACCGACACTTGCGTTTGAACATAGACCGCCAGAGAGCAAGCACGGGCGATCCCATTATTGAATTAATTAGATCACGTGACCATAGAGGAAAATAAAAACTTTTAGTAAAGAAAGAAAGAAAATTTGAGATATCGAACTGCATAAAGGTGCATTCGTTTTTCGCTTTTACCAATTGATAGCATCCTTTATATATAGAAATTGATAGCATCATTCACACACACACACACATATATATATATATATATATATATATATATATATATATATATATATATATATATATATATTCTTAATAAAATCTTATAAGTATAAGAAACTATACACGTCCGAAAACCTTCGGTACATTGATTTGCAAATAAACAAGCCAACACCAAAGGGGAGGAAAAAAGGTATAAAAAAAAGAAAGAACCAAGAACATGTACGTTAACCGAGAATAATCGGCTAGCATACGAGTTCAAGGCCCAAAGAAAAAAAAAACCCTGCAGTATCCAAAACAACTAAATAAAGTGTTCAATACAATGAGTAGAAACAGACCTAATTAAATCTAGAAAACAGACAAACCTAAAGGTTTAACCTAAGCAGTTAAAGGTGTCACACTAAGCGGATCGTCAGGGAAAAATAAAATTCCTCTGACGATCCCCAAAAAAATGACAATTTTCATAGGTTTGTCTGGCTCTCTAGAAAAATTAAAATATATATATATATATATATATATATATATATATACCAATATATTATTGTTGTATACGGAATAAATTCCAATCACCAACAATTACTATTCTTAAAAGAGGGGTCAATACAATAAAAACAAAATAAATAGAATAACATATGTATTTTTTCTTTTTTCCTCAGTAATTTTATAATTTTAAACTTAATAGAGATTAAATTTAGATTTTAAAATGGTTAATTTTTAAATTTAAATTTTAATTTCAAATTTTATTGTATAATTTAATATTTATTAGTTAGAATAAATTCTATTTTAGTCTAACCCCAACTTTAAAGCATTTAATAATTATTATAACCTTAGTTCGTTGTCAAGTTTTTTGAATTCTCCTATACTTGTATTTTGATTGGTCATTCAGGCTTATGTAACAGGGTTTCCCATTGCGAGGGTGTAATTGATTTGAACCTTTTAAAACCTTATTCTACATTCAACATCATCAATTCATAAGACACCAGAGGTGTTGAAACAAAATGGCTATTTTTGTAGTGATTTTATAACATATTTATGTTATAATTTTAAAATAAATAATTATATATATATATATATATACATATATATATATATATATATATATATATATATATATATATATATATATATATATATATATATATATATAGATATATTTAATTCCAATTTATAATTAGTAAATTCTATAATTCCAAACTGATGACTATTAATCCAAAAGAACTCAATGTAAGAACAAAGGAATATAATAATGAATACAGAATTGTTAAAATCAATATGGTTATAATTTATTGACTTTTTTCTGTACATCTTTCCAGACCAAAAGCTTATTGAAAATTTTAATTATTCTTATTAACAAAATTTTGACATGAAGTGATGTAAATGTCTACAAAACCCGACTAAATTATAACCAGAGGATGTTTAAACAAGACGCTCTGTATTCATTACTAATATATATATATATATTATATATATATATATATATATATATATATATATATATATAAATTATTTTCGAACAAAGGTTATTCATATGTCAGTTAAGCATTTTATGTCAAAATTATAAAGTACAGAAATTTTTAAATTTTTATATCAAGTTTTACTTAATGAAAAATATACAAAACAAGAAATTGAAAAGGTCATCCAAAGTAAAATTTAAATCTAAAAACCTGAAAAAATATTAACCCTCATAAAAAATTTTGATCAAATCTCATGTTTCAAAAATTTTTTGCATTCTAATGAATAAATATTTTGAAACATGAAAATCTTATGTAAAATGAGGAATTTATTTTTTAAATGCACAAATATATTATTATAATAAAGCTCTACTTCTGTATAAAGCACTGTCTTCTTAAAAATAAAAAAAAAATTACTAAGGAACATTAATTATGCACCCAATGTTCTTTTCTATTTTCTGCATAAATTTATATATATAAATATATATATATATATAATATCGATATATCTTATCTATTACTCAATATATAATTGTTTAAAATTAGTTATATTTATGGGGATGGATGCTTAATATCGGAAACACAAAAACAGTAATCAACATAGACGCAAAGAATCAACAAATGCATAGTGAATGTCAATTTCAGTACCAGAAAAAATCATTGGAGAAAGAATATATATACCTTGAAACAAATAAAGAAATATGTAATGATTAACAAAAGATACATACATAACATATAACATTAAAAAAAAAAAAGAAAGAAAAAGAAAGAAAAGAAAAAAAGAAAGAAAGAAATAAACAAATAAATAAACAAATTTTAAAAATGAAAAGAAAAAGGCACAAACATACAATAAAAAAATATAAAACTAGACATGAATGAAACAATTTAATAATGAAAAAAAATGTATAATAAAAAATTTTCAAAAAAATAAAAACTAAGCCAAAAATGTAAAAAAAAAAAAACACAAATTTAAGACGTAAAAATGAAATACATTACAAACACAGAAATGAAAAAGTTTTAACAGTAAAATTAAATGAATGAAGAAAATAGAAGATGAAAAAAAATATAATATTGTCCTTCTTAAGAATAAAATGAAATACTGACGTCGAAAGAAATTCATATCAAAAATAAATGGAAGAATAAATAAAAAACCGTAAAAAAAAAGAAAGAAAGAAATAAACAAACAAACAAAAGAATGAAAAATTATATTTGCTTAGGTATTTCAATGAATGAATCAGTAAAAGAATGAATGAATAAATGAATGAATGAAAGCAAGGGAAAAACAAAGAGAAAAAACAGAATAAAAATCAGTGATGAGATAAGAAAGAAATTTTTCCAAAGAAATTTTAAAAAAAAAGAAAATTTATAAAAAAAAAAAAAAAGAAAGAAAGAAATGAAAAAAAGAAAGAAAAAATGAAAGAAAGAAAAAAGAAAGAAAGAAAAAAAATGAAAAAAAGAAAGAAAGAAAAAAAAAAAAAAACAAGGGAAGAAATAGAAAGAAAAACAAATAAAAAACGTAATGGAAGAACGAAGAAAAAATAGGAAGATAAAATGAGAAGAAAAACAGAAAATAATTAGAAAGAGAAAAAAATGATGTTGAAAAGACCAAAACCAGAAATTAAAAAATGAAGAAGAAAGAAAGAAAAAAGAAAGATGGAAAAATGAAAGAAAACACAAACATTTAGAATAAAAAATAATCTAACTACAGATTCAAAAGTTTAGAAAATAATGAAAAAAGAAAAAAAAAAAAAAAATAAAAAATATACAAAAACCAAGGGCAAATGAAACGAAAGAAAGAAAAGAAAGAAAAAAGAAATTCAAGATATAACTGATCAAAATAAAAACTAACGAGAAAGAAAGAAAGAAAGAAAGAAAGAAAGAAAGATTAGAAAGATTGCAAAAAGGAAAAATTGTGCTAATCCTTTATTGCGTTAACTGGATCGACCAGTGTCATATCGATCTCTATTGTCACCTTCGGTGTTATAGGTTGTTGTGTTAAATTTTCAGAAAACAACTTCTAGGCCAACCTGTACAGCCGAGAAAAAATGGCCGTGAGGGAAAAATATTAATAAAGTGTCTAGAAAGAAAATTTAAAATTTCGATTAGATTTAAGGAATGATTAACTGTAAGAGACATCTCATTTTCGAAACGAGAAACGAGACTGGGCCGAGAAGTACACTGTTAGACCGGATTAGTCTCGGCTGAATGTGACTGCGTCACTCTCCATCGGACCTCTCTCCCTCTGTTTTACTAGGCAGGTTGCGCGAATAAGTCAGGTTCCTTGATTTTTGCCTCGTCAGTCTTAATTTGGCTTCCCATTGATCAGAGACACTGAAGAGAAACACCGACATTATCTGGGAACATTTTAATGATAAGAATACCGGAGAATAAAAAACATTATTAATAAGTAAAGGCAACGAACGAAAGAAAATTCAAGCATGCAGATAAATTAAAATCCGAAAACGAAATGATAAAAATATTTGAATTGATAAATAGATAAATAAATAGATAGATAGAATGATATATATATAGATAGATAGATAATAATTAGATAAAAAACAAAATAAAATTTTGACAAGAAGTGACTAGGCACAAAAGGACTGAAGGAAGACTACACAAAAAAAACATAGATAGATAGATAGATAGATAAAAACAAAGAAAGAAGACTATATAAAAAGAAGTGGCGATATACAAAAGAAAGAAGGAAAGAAATAAAGAAAGAAAGAAAAATTGTACACAACATGAACAACTGATTAGAAAATAAATAAATAAAATAGATAGATATGACTAGACTGAGATAGATAGATAGAAAGAAAGAAAGAAAATGAACAGATAGATAGATAGATAGATAGATGAAAAAACAAAAAAAGAAAACTATATAAAAAAGTGGCAAGATACAAATAAAAAAAGAAAAGAAAAAAAAAAACTTATTTAACACAACAACTGATTAGAAAATAAATAAATTAAATTGATATAACTAGACTACATAGATAATAGATAGATAGATAGATAGATTTAATAGATAAATAAACAAAGAAAACAAAATAATTTGAAGTAAAAATGAAATAGGCTTTCAAGGACTGAAGGAACACTACACAAAAAATGATAGATAGATAATAATGATAGATATATTTAGATATATAGATAGATAGATAATAGATATGAAAAGACTTTGAATATAAATAAATAGATAATATTCTAGATATATAATTTCTAGATAGATAATCTATAGATAGATAGATAGAATTTAAAAAGTAAAAAAAATCTATATAAAAAAAAAAGCAAGAGATACAAAAGAAAGAAAGAAAGAAAGAAAAACTGTACATAACATGAACAACTGATTAGAAAATAAATAAATTAAATTGATATAACTAGACTGACATAGATAGATAGATAGATAGATAGATAGATAGATAGATAAGTTATAGATATTAGATATTGAAAAAGACTAGATAGATAGATAGATAGATAGATAGATAGATAGAAATAGATAGATAGATAGATAGATACATAGATATTGAAAAGAAGATGAGATAGATAGATAGATATATAGATAGATAATAGATAGATGAATAGATAGATAGATAGAAAGTGTGAATAAATTTGACTAAGTAAAAAAAAGTGACTAGGCACAAAAGGACTGAAGGAACACTACAAAAAATTAGATAGATAGATTGATAGATAGATAGATGAATTTTCTAGATAGATAGATAGATAGATAGATATGAAAAAACTGAGATAGATATGAACAGACTGAGATACATACATATGATAGATGTATAGATGAAAATACAAAGAATAAAATCTATAGATAAATGTAAAAGAGCAAAGGTAGAAAACTAGATGGAAAAGTAATGACTACAGGAAGCAAAAGAAAGAAAACTTAATATAAAAGAACGAACGATAGATAGATAGATAGATAGATAGATAGATAGATAGATAGATGAAATATATATATATACCGGGTGTAACAGCAAAATTGTCCAAATCCTGTACCAGCATGGGATAATGTCCATCCCACAAAATGTTTAATATCTAAAACAAACACTAAAATAATTAATTTTTTTTCTCAGCTTTTCAGATAAAACGTTTAGCTATCTTGACACTGTCTGTCGTAAGAATCACTGAAAAATTCTTTGAGTTCCTCAGGTAAGAAAAGAACAGGCTAAAATCGTTTTGTGTCAGCCCCACTATGTCTTCCCAACTGAGCAATGGTGAGAGGAAAAAGATCATTCAGGCCTTCAGTCGTGGTACCAACATTCAGACGCTGGCTTTCATCTGCAACGTCCATTCAAGAACCATCAAGAGAACGGTGAAAAAAGTTTAAATAAAAGAGGAACAGTACAAAGGAAAAATGGATCAGGAGGTCACAACAGAAAAAGGGATCATCATTTCAACGTAGTGTCCAATAGTGTTATAAAAACCTCGGAGAATTGTAGTAAGATATCTTTAATCCTTTCTAAGATACAACGGTTCAAAGTTTAATCTAAGAATTGACAATTTTGCTGTTAAATGATTTGGACCATTTTTATTGTTATACATATATATATATATATATATATATATATATATATATATATATATATATATATATATATATTTAAATACTTTTTTAATATAAATAATATCTTCAAATTTTTTTTGACCCCTATTTTTCTATCAAACATTGTAATCTATCTTTTACATAATTTTGTTAAAACAAAATTACAACTTCTTTCGATTCACTTCCGTCTCCCCTCCCTCTTTACCATAAAAAATCTTTTGAATATGTCTGCCTTTTTTTTTAAACTTTTTTCTCTTTCGATTCACTTTCCTCTCCCCTTTCTCTTTGCCTTAAAAACTTTTTTTGAATACGTCTGGGCCTTTTCCCCTTTTTCTCTCTTTCGATTCACTTCCCTCTCCCCCTCCCTTTTTGCAATAAAACTCTTTTGGATACGTCTGCTTTTTTTCCCACTTTTTCTTTCTTTTTCCCTTTACTTTATTTCCTTTCCTCACTATTCCTATATGTCACTTCCTTTTCTTTTACCACATAAAAATAGGTCAAGGTTAGGTCATCCTCCTACCCCAATTTAAGGCTTATTTAAGAGAGATGTAAATTTAACCCTCACTATATTTTGTATTGTCTCTTTAACCGCCACCTTCACCCTCCCTGTTTAATTACAAAAATTACACTACCCATCAATTTCTAATCAAATTTTTCCTCTCATTTCACTTGTTGGAAGTGTTACCTGATGATCCGAAATCCTTTAAAAAAGATTTTTGGTGAAATAAATTATTGTAATGGTACCTTAAAGTGGTCTGTTTTTCATTAAATATTAGCTCTGTTCTTCATTGATTGATATATATATATTTCATCCTCTTTGGAATTACCAATTCGGTTTACCAAATTCTTCATAACTTAAATATATATATATATATATATATATATATATATATATATATATATATATATTTTATATTATGAAACTTGAATTTATAAACAGGGTCATATCATTCATATACAGTTTCGGGGTTAGTGTATCTTATTGAAATTGTTTGCGAAGATGTATTCTTGCCATTTAAATCATTAACCTCTATATTTGTTTTTTTGTATGAAGAATTCATGTAATTATAAATTAAACTGAACTTAGATAGATAGATAGATAGATAGATAGATAGATAGATAGGTAGATAGATAGATAGATAGATAGATAGATAGATAGATAGATAGATCTGTATCTGTGCGTGCACGGCGACACATAATTCTGCAATTTAATATTAATCATAGCAAAAATTCCAGCTCAAAATCCAGCAGACATCTCCGTGTCAGTCTCTATAAAACCGAAAAGACTTGACAGAAAAGAAAGAACGAAAGAAAAGCAAGCATTAAAAATGTAGAAAGAAATGCCTAATTTCACAATTGACATGCTGTCCATATACGTAAATATCACACGCGCACACGTACACCTAGATGCCTTCTTGACACTTTTACTCGGGTTTCCAGCGGGAACTTTGTTCGGTATTTGTTTTTGCAACATTCGACCTGCCCTACCCAAGGGCGATATTTTGCCATCTTTAAAAGTTCGTCTTATATACTGTCAAACGCAGCACTTGAATTTGAGAACTTCACCTCGTATGTTCGCTAACAAAAGACAAGAAGCAGGCTATCTCACGGCCTGAAGTAACATCACGCAAACACATACATGCAAACATACATTTATATTGTAAAGTACTATTCAACTTTGTCCGCTCGAACACACTCAGGCGCGCAAACAGGCACACGTACACGCGTACATAGCCACGGTGACATAATGAATAGTAGCTCGGCATGAGAAATCGGCGAACCAGTTCGGGTTCGAGTCGAATTCGTTATATTCACTTACGTGCAAATACCCTTGGGAAAGGCATGAATCCAACTCTTCTGTCCCTAGATATAGACAGAACATATTTTGTCCTGTGGCATTCGTTACCAATACTCAATTCAAAATCTGACGAGTATCGTTTACGGAACTTGTGCCGCGAGTTCTTAGAAGTCGAATCTTCCAAAATTCAGAACCTGAGGAGTAACGTTTGGAAACCTTATGGCGCCACTTTTTTGTCGTCGATTCTTCCAAAATCAAAACCTTGGGAGTATCGTTTTGAGACCCTGTGGCACCAGTTCTTTGTAGTCGATTATTCCAAAATCAAACCCTGGGAGAGTATCGTTTTGGGAACTTGTGGAACCAAATCATTGTATTCTAATCTTCCAAAATCATAATCTGAGGAGTATCGTTTGGGGAAATTCTGGCACCAGTTCTTAGTAGTCGAATCTTCCAAATTTCAGAACGAGGAGAAACGTTTCGGTGCCATGTGACGCCATTTCATTGTAGCCGATTCTTTCAAAATCAAAACCTGAAGAGTCTCTTTTGGAGAGCGTGTGGCACCAGTTCTTAGTAGTCGATTCTTCCAAACTTCAAAACCTAAAGTGTATCGTTTAGGGAACTTGTGATGCGAGTTCCTTGTAGTCGAATCGTCCATAATCAAAACTTGAGGAGTATCGTTTGGTGACCTTGTGATGCCACTTCCAAAATTCAAAATCTGAGGAGTATCCTTTGTGAACCTATGACGCCAGTTCATTGCAGACGGCTCTTCCAAAATTCAAAATCTGAGGAGTATCCTTTGTGAAACTATGACGCCAGTTCATTGCAGACGGCTATTCCAAAATTCAAAGTCTGCGGAGTATCCTTTGTGAACCTATGACGCCAGTTCATTGCAGACGGCTCTTCCAAAATTCAAAATCTGAGGAGTATCCTTTGTGAACCTATGACGCCAGTTCATTGCAGACGGCTCTTCCAAAATTCAAAATCTGAGGAGTATCCTTTGTGAACCTATGACGCCAGTTCATTGCAGACAAAAATTCAAAATTCAAAGTCTGCGAGTATCCTTTTGTAACCTATGACGCCAGTTCATTGCAGACAGCTCTTCCAAAATTCAAAATCTGAGGAAAATCCTTTGTTGGCCTATGACGCCAGTTCATTTTAGAAGGAATTGCTATTCCAAAATTCAAAGTCTGCGAAAATCCTTCATAATCCTATGACGCCAGTTCATTGCAGACGGCTCTTCCAAAATTCAAAATCTGATGACTAACGTTTGATGACCTTGTAGCGCCAGTTCTTTGTAGTCTATTTTTTTTCTAATCAAAACATGGGGAGTCGTTTATAAATGGACCTTTTGATTAAATTCTTAATAGTCGATTCTTCCAAAATTCAAAATTAGATCAATATCATTTAGGGACCTTGTGGCTCCAGTTCTTAGTAGTCAACTCTTCCAAAATTCAAGTATCGTTTTGGGCCCTTTTGATGTCAATTCTTTGCAGTCGTCTCTTCCACAAAGTATTCATTTACTCATGCTCATTATGTATGTAATGCGTTGTTTTTCTATGTCCCTCTTTCTCTCAATCTGTCCTGTGAGTATCAGATTTTCGAAGCCTTTCTTCTGTACTGCGGAAATTGCATCTCTCTCTCTTCCTGATGTTAAGTATAAGTTTACTTTCTGTTTACACTCTCTTCAAAACCTCGCCGTTCTTCGCATGTTAAACCCATGGTATCCTCAGTATCTTTCTGTAGATCTACATTTGTGGTGCTTCAAGTCTCTTCTTCATCTTTGAGGAGATTGTCCAGCATTCACTGCCATATTGAAGGATGATATTTTTTAATCATTTTCTCGCACTCGCGAATGGGGCAAATAGATTTGTAAACACTATTGATCCTCCTAAGGGGGTTCGATCACAATTATACAAAAGATCTTATTGTCTCAGTGAGATCAACGTTGAGGTCTGAGAATTGATTACAAATATAATGGTCAAAACTTTGTCATAATCTTCAACAAAACGCGTTTCAATGAACATTTCTCCCAAGACAGACAATTTTTATATATATATATATATATATATATATATATATATATATATATATATATATATATATATATAATAGCAGCATTAATTTTTTGCCCATGCATGATTCAAAAATCGTACGACTCATACAGCAATCGCTATCATTAAAACTTAAAATATTTTTGAATTCTTCCTTGCCTTTAAAGGAGTGCCCTTTGCCGTGCTGATGTTGCTACATGCCTTAATTCTTGCCTATCTCACACTGCAAATTTTTTCGAAATCTCTATACTAAACATTAAATCTGTTACGAAAAAAAACTAAAATTGAACACAAAACGATCAGCTTTAAAAAAAAAAAAAAAAAAAAGTAACTGGAAAAAACGAATGAAAAAGAAATGTTAACAACAAATACACTTTTTTTTTACATCCAACCCAGTTCTGCGGAATCAGAATCAACGTTGAGTTTAAGCAAGCCTGAATGAGCCAATTGGAGTAAAGAGCCATGCAGATTTAAATTTTTCCCACTTGTGACGAATGCAGCTATCGATTTTTTTTATATGCTAGTTAACATTCGTGTCAATCAGCTGTTGGCTCTCACGCTGGCCAATAGAATCTGCCTGCCTATTCGTGGCAGCCAGCTATTATACTCAAAAGCCAGTACAAAAAACTAAAACTACATGAAAACTGCCGTAGAAGCATGAAAAATTCGATTATTTTCGACTATCGTTGGGAGTTGGGAAATGCAAAGTTGGTCTTGGCTTTCTCGCTAAAATTGGAGCATGTGCATAAATAAATTTTAAAGCAAATCCGACGAATATTGCGGCCGTGCATTAATTTACACACACACACACACACACACACACACACACACACACACACACACACACACACACACATCACACCTATCCTGCCTATATATATATATATATATATATATATATATATATAAATAAATCAATCGACTTTTTTAATATTTTTAATATTTGGAAATCATCTTCGAATACGTTTTCCCAACATCGCCCACGTGACGACGACGTGATCATATTTAAACGGAACACTGATCTTACATAAAAAATGTCAGTTATCTGTTTGGATTTGTTGTGCTCTTATGTCCATCGTCTTTTCGTGTTGAATTTTTATATGTTCTAATGTTAATTATGTTTAAATGAAAATGTCCATGAAGATGTTCTTAAATAGACCGAAACGTCCGACGTCGACTTTATATTAACATTAATACAGCATAATTGCATATTCAGATTTTTGTTTGTTTTTTTCTGTATATTTTCTTCATATATCGGATCTATATCCATATATTTGCTTACATATATATATATATATATATATATATATATATATATATATATATATATATATATCCAAATATAATCTATTATGAATATATAATAAGTTCCAATAACCAACAATTACTATTCTAAAAAGAGTGCTCAATACAGAGTATCATAGACTAACCTACTTATAAGATTTCCTTCCATTCGTCATCAACTAACTGCTGATATTCTCATTTAAGTTATTTTTATATTAAGAAATAATTTATGCCTTTTACAGCAGTGGGGGGGCTTTTTTCTTCTTTGTGTTTGTGTGTGTGTGTGTGTACGCTTGTATATGTGTGTATGTACGGCTGTATGTGTATGTATGTGCACGTATGTAGAATATCGTGGTTATTTATCTAGAAATATGATGATAATGGACACTACAAGTTGATTTCAAATTTGAAAAACCGAAATTTTTCATTAATTTTTTTAAATTCATGCGTCGGATTAACCTTTTCCCCCGTTAATGACATGTATACGCCAGCCACATATTGTGCAACAGCAAGGATCTCGGGACATATCAACAGGAATATTTGCTGACATCCTTCACCGTTGTTTTTCCTCTATAACTATATATATATATATATATATATATATATATATATATATATATATATATTATATGACGGATTTAACAGCAAAATTGTCCAAATCGTGTGACAGCATAATTGTTGAACCCACAAAATGTTTACTATCTAAAAATTGAGTTTATTTTTTACTGGTTTCTCATTAGGCGTTTATCCGTCTTGACACCATTTGTCGTAGGAAAATCGCTTTCACTTATTCAGCTAAAAAAAATAAAATAATTTAAAAAATCGTTTAGTTTTTCTTTTTGTTTTCCACCAATGAGCAACGGTGAGAGATTCCTAAAATAATCATTTAGGCCTTCAGTAATGGTTCCAATTCATATCATATATGGCTTCCATCTTCATTCAAAACACACAAAGTGCATTCAAAAACCACAAAGAGACGACGAACAAGTTTAACAAAAACGGAACAGTTGAGTTTTTTTTTTAAGTGGATCATATAGATATATACAAGAGGGATCATATATTTCAACTTAGAAAATAAAAATCAATTAG